ATGGAGCGTGCACCCTAGCCTTAGATACTCAGTAGAATATAGACTATATATTCCACTGGAAAAGAGCACAGCCGCGAGTGGCAGTCGAAGGAACTAGATCAGAAGATTACATGACATCGCTCGGCTCTAAGCTGCAGCATAACGCCTACCTCAGCAGAGAGAGGGAGAGAAGGCGTCCTCCGAGAGAGCGCACGCGGGAACCTACACGGCACCCCGAATTACGTCACTAGGAGTGCGACCAGGGGGGACCCTGAAGACTGGGAGTGAGTTGAGGGGTGCCAAAAATGACAATATTTATCTCTTTTTTTTTTCACAACAACATTGACACGCAGTCGAAATCGTTTTTTTATTCTTTACTTCATAAGTGTCAGAGGGCAACTTCCACAAATGTTTGACCGAAATCCGGAAATAGTTGCACCCACCCTTTAAAGGGATACTACAACGAAATTTCGGCGCTCATTTTTTGGTCTATATGTGTTCAAAAAAGCAGCATCACACCGAACATACCAATATCTTGTTAAAAAAAGTCACGAAAAGGTATTTTGAAACAAATTAAACGATTAGCAAAGAGCACCTGGTGGATGTCGCTAACGCCTCGCTTGTAATGCCCGTCTAGGAACCTTGACAGCTAGTGACGGAGGTTGTCTCGTCTCCGGCCACGACGAGAGAAGAGGGGCAGGAGGAACTCCCCTCTTCCCGAGAATGCCTTTTATGTGTCGCAGAAGTCGCTATTGTCCCCCTAGAAGATTATAGAAGATTAACCCGTCCCTCAAAATTCACAAAAAAGCAGCCGCTTCGGTGGCTGGAACGACTAGGCCATCCTCTCGACGTCAGCCTCGCCGTAGCTTTGCTCGTCTTGAGACGACCCACGTCACGATTGCGTTGGATGTCACGTGGTCTCCGCTGGGCCTTCTCCGAGCGCTTGCCAGAGTGGGCCGTTTATAACGAAAAATACAGCCACCAGGCTCAAAATACAAACGTGCGATTGTCATTTACGGATATTGTGGATCATATTCAACCTATTTTTGAACACGACGGGAATATTTCAAATTTCGTTGAAGTATCCCTTTAACTGGATTTTAGACTAGAAATAAGAATTGCATGAAAGAGAGCCGGACAGAACCACTTCATACGGTGGCGTAAATCATGAACATGCAGCGATCTCACCTTTCTCGGATAAAAGAACACTGACACCCCCCAAAAAAATTTTTTTTGTCAGGCAATTTTTTATGGTGTAAGAAGACTACCCACTCAATATCTTGCTACAGCGTCCCGCATATTTTTAATACAGTAAAAAAAAAAAAAAAAACGAAACCGAAACAGAACTGGGAGGAAGAAGAAATATAGAGGAGGAGAGAGTTAGCGAAAGTCACGCGGCTGTGCAGCCTTTTTATTTTTGTTTCATTCAATAAGTATGTTGGCAATGTTTTAGAAGCCCCCAAAAATCGCGGTGTTTTATTTTCAGTCTATATTTATTATTGAATGTGTGCCTTCGATGACCCACGACTTTGATTATCTTTGGTGGTTGTGTCTAAACCATAGAGAGTGAGTGCGACTCAAAATGGCCAGTTCTCGATCGTCGGTTTTCGGGCGGAAAGAAAACGAATTTCAAGCCGTCAATTGTGTTCTGGGTAGTTGAGCTCTCATATGTCACGTACAAATAAAAACCTTGGCGATTATAAATACCCTATCAGTGTTCCCCGTCTCCCTATCTAGGCCTAGCACATGCAGGTCGTGGGGACTGCGATGGCGGCGGCTTCCCGGATACGAGGCGAGGTCGCATTCCTCGAAGATGGCGGTGCCTCCCTCGCTCTTTTGGGTAAATCTGCTCGTGGCACATCCTTGGGAGTGAGTGTGGGCGCGACCCCTGAGCGGGCTAAGCCACAACACCTTCCCCGGGCGCGTCCATTTCCCGCAGGCTACGCTAGCCGTCCCCGAATCGCTCGGTATAATATGGTACTTGGCGCTGGTGTACGTGGTGACAGCTTGGACAACTTCGGATACCGCTTGTGCCCCCTGCTTCTCAACGCTGGACTCTACAACCAAGAGGCTCCATCTCCGCCTGGTTCATCGGTTCCTACCACCTCCCTTCAGTCGCTCGAGGTTGCGGCTCCATCAGCCGCCGCCGCGATGTCGCCTTTGGAGAAACACTACCACTCTTCACTTTCACAATTTTTTATTCAATCAGCTGTTTTCCCTTTTCCCCTTCCCCCTAACAACTGATGGCCGTCTCGCCTCTGGCTATGGCACACAGTTTAGTACTTCCTCTTTCGCAAGCCTTCTTTTTTTCTCTTCCAAGAAAGGGGGGGGGGGGGGGGGGGGCAGGAGCTGGACCTCGGAGCCTTTTTCTTTTTGCAGCTTCCCCCTTTCCACAAATCTGCCTAAAACGGTAGCGTGGGCCCCTACAGGTGAATCTCACTGATACGACAGCGCCGACCTTTTCAGTATTTTCTTGCACTTGTTTGGCCAACGGACAAAGTGTGGCGGCGAGACGCCAATAAACACGTCATTCTACGGGCCCACAGACCTCCTGTGTTTCTACGTGGTACCCCCAAAAGGGGAAACCTACAAGCTACTCTTCATCAGCGATTGAAGAACATTTTGGTAGAATAAAGAGATACCCCCCCGGTCAAGTTTTCGAATCACAGTCACTAGCCTCCACCACTGTATTAACGGAAAATGAAGATATATATAATACAATCAAACTCCAAACATCTTTTTTGTCTCTACTGCAGCTTTAGTTTCTGTACCGCCCCCTGTTTGTGACTTAAATGTCTCGTAGTATTATTATTTTCTAAATAAAATGAATATATAAACTACTCTTTTACACTAGCCTACATCTTTTATTTGTAACGCTATGGTTTGGACAAACATATCAAAATTAATTGCGTGATTACCTTTTCCACAATAAGTTTTTTTTCGTTTGTTTTTAGAGACCTAATACATCAGAAAACGTTATTGAGAAAAAACTTATTCGAATTAAAATGAAAGCGTGGTCAGCCAAGCTCGTCAAGACAGAGTACAGTCCACACTTCGGCTTAAATTTTCTTTATTGGCCAAATGCTACTGCTCTCCCTCGTTCTCAGAACCGTGGCCCTCAGCCTCACAGCCACCCTTCGACACTGTCGCGAGTGGCTAGTCGAACCACGAGGGTTCACGTGTAGATTGATGCTTCTATACAATCTGGTACACACCTGTACAGTTAGTTACAAAAAGAGTTCGTAGAGATAAGTTTACAAGATAATTGCAGGCCAGAATACAATACATCCTGCGTTCGGACACTCGAAGTGCCATCTGGGGTATTCCAATCCGGGATGAATCCTCGGCTCTCTTCGTTGACTCGCTGAGCCACATGCTGTGTCGGGGTCTTGAGTTACCGATTGTGTTTCCTATCGTAATATTCGAAACTTCAGGGATTTTGTTCCATTGCCTGCCGTCTGCGAAATTATCTATGACGCTAAGTGACGCCAACGTCAGCGACACCTTGCGGGCGCCTCCGTAATTATTTCCACGAGACTAAGCGCCCACACACGATGTTTCGCAGGCTCTCACCGCCGAAACAGTAGCCTTCGAATCACTGAAAGAATAAGAACGGCAGAGACGTCCTTCATCGGTAGTCCGTCCTCCAACGCGAGCTTCCTGCCTTCGATAACGTTTTGGCGCCTTGTGAGCGTCGAACGTGTACACGCAGCCGACACACGACGGAAGGCATTGCAGAGCGCAAGATCGTCTGCTTCTTTTGCAGGGGTTGTGGTGACGTCAAAAAGCCGAGCTCTGATTGAAGAATACTGGGTAGATCTCAAGGCGGCTTGCTTTGAGGTCTACCCGCTATCCTTCAATCAGAGCCAATCAGATCTCGGCGTTCTAACGCCACGACAACCCCTGCAAAAGAGGCAGACGAGCTTGCGCTCCGCATAAACGCCTGTTGGGGCCAAGGGCATCATCTGAAAGAGACGCCCTGCCGGTCTCACCCTGTCGGTGACACCAGAGGCTATACCATGGGACGCAAAGAGTCAACGTGCACACCCGAAACTTCATTAAGAATTAGTATTGTCATTGCATTGCAGGCATTAAAGGATTTTTTTTGACACTTACTGCAGAAGAAAAAAAGGTACGATGAGGTACGGTTATATCATTTATACCTAAAATATGAGGAAAATCGACTGCTGTGCCATTTCGTTCAAGTAGACTTGGGTTACACAGTAGTGCTCATGGGAAAGGATCAGCTCCAGACGGCTGTTGTGTGGCATTCCCTTTGAGGATTGGGAGCGATCCAAAAGCGCCTGCGCCTTTGGTGCGGTACACATGCGATCGCGCGCTCGCACGCCCAAGGATTCACCAACAAAAAAAGAAAACAGCTCCAAATCCACCAAGTGCTTCAAAACAGCTCCAAATCCACCAAGAAAATTGCCGTTCATTTCAAGCCCCGAAAAAAGAAAAAAAAAAAGAAAAAAGAGAACAATATTGGGACGTTGTACCTGAGTCACGGTGTAAGATACACTCTTTAGGTGAGGACACGGCGGGGCTGAACGCGCGGCGCGAGGAATCAGATAGTGTTCGTTCGACGGGCATCCGAAAGGCTGCATTTTTTCGCGGCCAGTGTGCCCGTGGCTGACAGTGTTGCCGGCAGCCAAACGGCGAAACTGTGTGATAGCGAAAAAAATTATCTCGTTGCCATGACACCCCGATACACCGTGGTCTTTCTGCACGAGCGACAACCTCGCTGGAGCTCTGCGCGTGAGGAGCATGGAAGGCACGAGCCGTCTTTGCCGTGCCCACGGGTCGACGATTCATCTGCCGGCGCTGCTTGAAACCATAGTGAGAGAGAGAAAGAGGGAGACTGAAAAGCGAACTTTAACTGCACTGCGCGAGGAGCGCGCTGTCCTCACCTGAAGAGTATTATCTTACACCGTGATCTGAGTCCATGCGTGGTGCAGCGATGGTTGCGCGCGCGGGGCCACGTGCTAGAAACTTTTATTTTGCGCTCGGGGGTGTAAACAAATCTTCTAGGCCACGGGGACATTCACAAAGATCAAGGAAGCACTACTAATAACTCTTTCGCGAGACATTCTGTTCATGCGCTCACTCTCGTGGCAACACTTTCAGAGTCGGCCACAAAATACAGTCTGAAACAATATGGAAGACCCATTCGAAGAGGCATCTTCAGGCGGACGCGCATGATTTGCTTTGGCCAGGCCTACATTGCATGGAATGAGGAGTAAATTGACATTTGTTCTAGTCTCTCATTAAAAATAAATTGCCTTTGGCCAACGAGTGCTGAACACCGCAGCAATAACAGCCTTGGCGAACGGGTTTTTTATATTGTCGGAGACTGTATTGCGCATGCTCCCCAACCTGTAAAACACTAGTTAATGAGCCGACCCGTACTTAATTACTACCGTCCTGCCACCCTGATTCATAGCCTATAGCTTCTAGCCCAACTGAGACTCTCACAACCATCCGCGTTTCACGGACCCGCTGAACGCCGGGTGTTTTGCCGCAAAATTAGCCCTTGATTCAGCAGCCCGCGCTGCGTCATTTTCTAGTTTGGTCTGCTGGGGCGGCTGGGATGCATCAATGCTGACAACCACGTCGGTGACCTTCCTTCCTGCCACCATTTCGAGCAAAGGCGTTTCGCTCTGGGTGTTGGTAGCAGGTCTGTCTCTTTGTCCCTGATCGACGGGCTGTGGCACTTTGTTCTCCAAGCACTTATCTGTACTGCCGTCACTTTGAGGCCCTTCCTCAGGTGTTCGTTCCAGTTTTTTCTCGGAAACATTGCCAGTCTCTTCAATCTCGGTGCTGACCTGGTGCTCCAGTCTCTCTTTGAGGACCGAGGTCCTCGTCACGGAGGCCGGAAGGTTCTTGCTAGTGCCGATAGGGGAATGCTGAAGGGCCTTGACCAGGTCTCTCCATCTCTGGAGGACGCGGCTGTAACTTGGCTTGGATTCAGACTCTGCGGCGTCTTCGTACTTGCTCAGGTCCACGCTGCTCGAGCGCGAACCACGGGACAGTTGGTCCAGGTCGCTGGCGTCGATGAGGGTAATGCTGAAGTCCTTCAGCAGGCGGCGCTCACGAACGCGCACCTTCTTGTTGGGAGCGACTGCAAGATACACGAGCGTTTTTCGACCAATATTACCTTCAAGAGTAGATATACAGAAACGTGTTGCATCGAAAACACCAGATAAGAATAATGGCCTTGTTTTGAGTTGGATTATGTTTTTGGAGAAGGTCGAGATAACATGAGAGAGCTCGGGGGATTTAATCGGAAATAAGTGTCTGGAATTTAGCAGGTGAACCAAAAAGGCTTGTGCGCTGTCTACATCCCGGTTGTACGCTATTGGCCGTTGACAGTAACCTGCGCTTAAAGTATGGGCACTCCATACTTTAAGGGCGCAATCAGCGATAGCTACGATTTGAAAAATAGGCCTACGATTTTCTGAGTTCTGTGCCAGGAAGCTTGGGCGGTGTCGTTTTGCTCTGTTACCAATTGTTTTCACATTTCTGGACGACGAAGAGCCGCAATTCAGGTCAAAGGTGGACAAAACTGGCAACAATGGTTTTAGGTACCAAAATGGCTGTAGATTCGTTACCCTGATGTAGCTTACTTAGTGTGTGAATGATGCAGCACAGGAGGGACCTTTGTGTTACTACAAAGTGAAAGAAAGAGAAGGTTACCTTCGGCTCTCTTCCGCTGCACCTTTGTGACTTTCATCCCGTTGTCCTTGAGGACGTCGAGGAGGTCGTAGCGGAAGGACGTGATCTGCTGCTTGAGTTCGTTGACGTCGTCCTCGGTGACTGGTGCCTGCTCGTTCTTGCTCTGCTCACTGGTCACGTATCTCCAGACCAGGCTTTTCATCACGTCCTGAAGCGAATCGTCTGTTTATTAACCCTGCACTGATTCTGTGGGAGTAATCACCTGATATTTCAACTCTTCCTTCTTCGCAGGAAACCCTTTGTCTCCGAGGTAGATCTGAAAAGATGAACGATTCCTCGTGAAGTTGCTCACTTTTCAACACCTTTTTTTGCGTTGAATGTATATAACTCAACTGAAGCTAATATAGTATATGTATATATCTGACTGTTTCATAATTAAATAATGCAACGTGCCCTAAAAAGAAAGGAAACATTTTTTTACAGTTCTGTTTCTTTTTGTTTTACCGTTAAAAAAAACGCATCTACAGACGCTTTTTTTCTGCCAAAGTTGTAGCTTTTGTGGTACGAAGCAACCAGATGCCAACATTTTAGAACTAGCCGTTATCGTATTACAAAAAAAAAAAAAAGCCAAAAGTGATATTTTGAAATTTTAAATAGAAAAAATGGGACATATTCTCAGTAACTGGCGTCATTCATTTACATGTATTCGACGACTCAGTCGTCCGCCATTTTCCCCTTGAAATTTTGAGAAAATCACTTTTAACTTTTAAATAAGATAACGGTTAGTTTAAAAAACAAAACAAAAAAAACGTTGACATTTGTTTTTGATTGCTAGAGCTATACAATTGATTGGAAAATGAGCATTCGGCAATACTTCCTTTAAGTTTATACAAAAAAAACAAACAAAAAAACATTTTTTTTTTTGGGGGGGGGGGGGGGGTGGGGGGGGGGGGAGGGACGCGCTGTATATAATGTCAGCACATCGTCAGCAGCTACATGCGTGCGGGTGCGTGATAAATGCTAAAGAGTGCTGGAGGCCTGGGGCCCTATGCTACACGACGAGACCGCGGGACAAAGCCGTCTGCTGCGATTGGTCGGCGGCACGGCGCTAACCTATCGCGGCAGACGGCGTTGTCCCGGTCCCATAATCAGTCCCCCCCCCCCCCCCCCCCCTCCCTTTCGCTCGGTCCCGCCATGTAGATTAGCCTGATTAGGGCCCCTGGCGTTCTCATCCGGGCAGCAACTATCACTAAATAAGCTATGCAGAATAACGATGCTTCAGTTGTTGCGAAGAAATTTCACGCGTTATTCGTGCGCTGCTCGAAGTATAGTTTTTACGAGATTTTGTTGTTAAGGTAAAAAACGATTGCTTTGGTGTTTGAAACGTTCACGTCTCGATAAAATCACACAAACCTAATCTAATATGCACCTACATATATCTGCATCCAACATAGAGCACCCACGTGTATCTGCGTCCAACACAGGAAAAGTGGGAAATTGGTAACGTTGCGCGAAAAATAGTCGGACTTTTGTATATTATTTTATTACGGTTCTCGAGGTGAATAAGAGACAGTTATCTGAAGCGTTTTCGTCATCCATCGTTTAAAACGCTCCGCGACAAAGCGAGACGACTAATTTCCCGAGCTTTCTGGCACCCTAAAATTAGGAATTCGCAGTTTCGGAGCGTATATAACTACATCTCCAATTGCGTTCGTTCTGCACTTGGCAACAAAATGGCGGCGCTCACAAGACAAGTACGGGTAGCGGAGTGCCGATACTCGGAAGACAAGTTTAAAAATCGTTTGCGGCTACAAAACCAAACTTATTACTATTTTTACTAGTATTTCGTGACTGTAGATTTCGTAATTCTTCATGCTCCTACCTTGTCTTTTCTCGTCTTCCCGCTTTTGCAGCTGAGAAGCTTGGTGATATGGCGGATGAATTCGAGCAAGTTAAAAGGGGGTGGGAGCGTCTGTCCAGGTTGGAAATACTTCAGGATGAGCTTGGCTCGACCGAATTTCCACTCCGTGTCCGCCCGTTCCTGGAAGGAGAGAAACACATCTCGATCGAAGATCGCTCTTTTAAGCCGCAGTTCCACCGCCTCGTTGCAAATACATCATACGAAAAGACATTGCGTTCGCCGCGGACGTGATGAAAGAATCACATGCTGACGCGCCTCACGCATGCTCGGAGCATGTTTGCTTCACATATTAGTGTGTTTAGAACATGTCTGCCGACAGTCGTTGTATGACTAATGCAACAGGATTGTCCGTACAAGGAAGAAACGAGCCTCATGCGGTGTCGGCAGCAAAACGGCGAATTGGACTACTATAGTCGGTTCATGTTTACTCAGACGAAAGCGCTAATCGGGGCTGTGCTCGAAAATCAACAACAAGAAGGCGGCGAAAGCGCCACGTGAACAGAAACACGCCACAGAGTTCGTTGACCGTGCCACGTCAGTGGTGTATGATAGTGCCACTAAATAAGCTCTAGTGTACGAGATACCAAATGAAACGCGGAAAGGTTTCCGATCGCGCGAACAGGTTTTATCGATCGGAAACTCTCTCTCGGGCAATCTTGCTGCTCACTGCAACATATGCAAAAGAACACGAATTCTAGGGAAACTTAAAAACAAAACGAAGAGAGGGAAAGAAAGAGAGATAGAGAGAGCTAATCGAAGCGTTCAATATAAGGCTGGCAAGAGAGGAAAACTGCCTAACTACACCATCGGTGCACATTACCGATAAGGGATTCGCCTTCTTATGCAGGAAGGGCGATTGTGTCTATAAATAAGTGTGTGTTTTAAATAGAATCTTGACGTTCTAAGTAGCGCCCTCTGCTGTTTGCCTTGTCCACGTTTTTTTTTTTTTTTGAGACGCTTTTGTTTAATTGAACACTGTCTGATTACTAATTTTTTCAATTTATAAAGTATTAATAGTTTGACCACGGCTTTAGTGGTTCCCGCTGTCAGCTAAGTCACAGAACAGCTCCCCTGCAGTCGCCCCGGGTGTGGTAGACGGTCTAGCGCGCTGACCTACCGAGATGGTCTGGAAGGAGTTGCTCATCATGGCGATGAGCAGATTGAGCAGGACCACAATGTTGATGACGCTGTACGAGCCGAACATGAGCAGCCCCCAAAATCTGGTGTAGCTCTTGATGCCGGCGAGTTCGAAGTTGGAGAGGTCGACCAGGCCGAAGCTGGCCCAGAACAGGGACTGGGAGGACTCGAACAGGCTGCGACAGAATCAAGACCAGATCTACTCACCCAAAAGAAAAAAAGAAAATATACGTAGATGAACAAAAGAACTACGTTCTAGCTCTCACTGTACAACTCTGGCTGAGGACATGAACACGGTTGCTGGAGCGCGTGTTCGACCGATGTGATTACCGTCCTATTCTGCCTGTACATAAAGTGATCACAAAGTGGAAACAAATTGTGTAACTGAAACGGTACGCTGTGCCGACCGCACAGCGTACCGGCGGTTGAACATAGAAATGCTGGCTAAAAATATTTTTTTCTTCTGAATCTTGGAATGTTCTGCTTGCAGGGCAACGTTCCATATGAATATTTTTCTTGTATCGCCCCCCACCCCCTCCCCCTTATATAATGCCTCTCATGGGGCACTTAAGAAGTGACAAATGAATGAATGAACGCGAGCAGACGCTAGGGTCGCTGTCACCGCGGTGTCTCATCTTGTGTCTGCCTTGGTTCCCGTTGACTGTACAGCCGCAGAGCGATCTAGAGCAGAACAGGAATCCGCCGCATCCAGCTTCATTGCTTCGCAGCCGCCGGGTTTGTGACAGGCAACAACGCAGCTCTTTTATGACGTCATCAGGCAGAAATCGAGGGAATACATTTGTTGAGCCGGTAAACACACCAGTCGGAGGCACGTTCCAGGCAACGTAGACATGAGGTAGCCCCGGGAGCACAAACTCTTTCCCAGATACCGTTTATTGACACGCTACAGCCAAATTGTAATGATTTTCACGATGAACTATTCTTGAAACAATAAATATAGTCATACATTGTGACCTTTTTGGCAATCGTGTACGATGCCACTTGAAACGAAAAAATGCAATCTAATGACTCCCTTGATTTCACGATTCCCCTGAGGAAAAAGATTAAATCCCGACTCCGCCAACAGTCGAAAACACGAAACCTTTATTTATAAGCATTGTCTGTTCGGTAAAAAAGCTTACTTGGAAAATCTCCTCCAGGTGAGACAGGCGGAGTCCCGGCTGTTCTGCGGATCGCAGTTGCTCCTCTCCAGGTCGGCGTAGTACCACAGCAGCTGGTTTAGACCGCAGGCGAACGAAAAGAGGACCAGGGTGTAGATGAAGAAGAACTTTATGATGTCGATGACCATCCTTCCCAGGGATATCTGCAGCGGCCCCAGATGAGGGTTCATGGAGAACAAGTGGACGAGGCGCAGTGCCCTACGTAGCAGAAAAGGTGCGCTACTGTCAGTGACGTCTGCCCAAACATGTACACGTTGTCAGAAAAAAAGAAATAACTACAAGGTTTTACTCGCTACTCGCCCCGAAAGTAACTAATTTCATTATTGGTTACTGAGATGAAATCGTTGCTTCAGCCCAAAAGTAAAAGATTACCTTCTCGTTATTCGGAACGTGCCGTTTCTCTGTCACAGTAGCAACCATGAATGTTTTTTTCTCGTTAATAATGCCTCATTTCTTAGACTCATTCATGGGCATACTGATGGTACCGATGAATGTGGCTATGCTGTCATGCTCTATGTACTTTTTGTTTTTTACTACTTCTCTGGCGCTTGCTGGTCATAAATGTTACAGGTCCGTGCTGGAGTGAAAACCAAATTGAATAACTTGCGTTGTACACGTTCAACTACATAAGTAAATCAATACCGTTACGTGCTACTCTATCAAAAAGTAACAAAAATACGTCACTTTTTTCCGCCGAAAATTAACGAAGTCGTTACTTCGTTACCGAAGAAGGAATTACTATAGATACACTCTAAAATAAAAGGGTATCACGTTACACCCTTTTGTCCCATATACTAATGCAGTTCAAAATTTCAGTTCGACGTACAGTGCACTATAGTCGAACAGACGGCCCCAAGTTCTGGGACCAGACATTTCATCGAACGCCGTTTCGTCGAACGCCGTTTCATCGAAGCCGTTTGATCGAATGCCGTTTCATCGAATACCGTTTCATCGAAGCCGTTTCATCGAACGCCGTCTAATCGAACGCCGTCTTATCGAACGCCAGGGTGGCATTCCCGCTTTTTGAAGCTGGTTGGAGGTGCCCATCCCGGGTTCTGGAAGTTTTTGACTTGCATCGCCGCAGAACACCAACTGACGGAAGACAAGCTGGAGGCGATGCTGAGTTCCCAAGAGCTTCCTCGCCAGAAGAAGGCCATAGCAGCAAGAAATGAGAAGGTCCGCCTTTTTTATGAGAACCGACGGAGCATGGCTGTGGGGAACTTTTTGAGAGCAATTGTTCATCATTTGAAACGGTGAATGGCTGGCGCACGAACATATCAACCCCCGAAAGTTTTCAAATAAAATTTGAAGTGACGTACTTACTTTTGACTTTGCTGAGTCTTAGAACTAAAAAGACAATGTTTCGTTGTAGTTTCATAAATAGCACCTCAGCTTTAGCTAGTGCAAGCTTCGAGCAGTACAAAAAGTATCAATAGAAAGACATGAGAGGCTAGGAGGCTCACATGGCTGAAGTTGTTGCGCCTGCGCCAAACCTAAGTCGCCTTCTGGCCTCCATGAATTGGAGTGCGCTCTTACCGGGAGTGCGACTTCTTATTTATTTGTTACAATACCCTCAAGGCCCATCGGTTAATACAGAGGCAGTGAACAGAAAAGCACAATATGCAAAACAAACATAAAAATCGGTACAAATATCCTCATGGGTTACTTGCATGAAAATAAATTGTAACAGCTATAAGTTTGGACATAAAAAAACCTGACGATGGAATGGGTGAATGACACGAAAATGCACTCGATCCGTGCATAAAAGAGCAGCTTTCACACTTTTTATATAAAAGACATTCGATGAAACGGCCGTCAGCGATTCGATGAAACGGTGTTCGATGAAACGGCGTTCGATGAAACGTCCATTTCTTCGATGAAACGGCGTTCGACGAAACGGCGTTCGATGAAATGTCCGGGAACCCCCAAATTCTACGAGGGGCTTGATAAGGGTGAGGCATAACTTATTAAGTAGCTCGGAAAGAAAACACCGAGCTTTTGTAGTAGGGCCAATAAAACCCCGATTAATATTTTTTTTTGTTGTAGTCAGTAAAACGTACATTAGCTATTTTAATAAGTTGTACCACACGGCTATTAAGCCTATCGTGAAAGGTAGTACCGTCAGATCGACGTCAGTGCGCTGTACGTCGAACTGAAGTGTTGGGGTATATTACCCTAACACTTCAGTATTATACGGTGTATTATACGGAAAAAGGGTGTAAGAATACACCCTTTTTTTTAGAGTGTACATGTATACCGCGATACTTGTAAGTCGTTCCGTACAAGTCTGCGTGCACCCAAGAGATGCATGTCCAAATGGTAAACTAACACCATTTGAAGAGCACCGCTTGCTGTCTTGGTACATTCATGATAGCGAGTAGTTACGGAAGAGCGAAAAATTAAGATAAAAGAGTGCGTGGAGCGGTGGAGGAGTAGGAGTACGAGTAGGAATAGGAGTAGAAAGTCTGAGTGTAAGGGGGAAAATACCTATTCCTCAAGCGTGCATCGGAGGTCACGGCCCCCAGCATCTTTCTGTGGCTGTACGTTCTTCAATCGCGGCTAATCCAGTCAACTCCAGAAAATACACTGTGACAATGAGCTTTGAGTTTGTGTGTATGCTTTTGCGAGCTTTTTAGCTCTTCGACTGCGCATTGATTAACGCATAAACCGAGAGTAAAAAGTCCGCCTTGTGGTCTCCCCTGAGGGCTGTACACAAGAGTACACGAGGGTCTGTGAAAGCCCGTTTATTGCGGGAACGTGACAGGCGGTGGACTCACTCGCGCTATCGGAAACGCGTTACCTTTGCCAGACACCATGACAGCGCCGCAGCTTAAGTTCTAACAACGCACCGCCATAGCCATAACAACGCGGGTAGCTGTCGGCACTGATCTCGACTGGGATGGTGCATTGAGCAAACAGGTATGAAGCCACCGGAAGTAAGCGGCTTGTCCCGGAAGTGAGCGCTTGACAGGCCCTTCAACTCTTCCGAGGGCTGGTTCATGCAGCGTCCACTTAAGGCGCTAGATCTTTTCCTTGTCATCTCAAGAAAGCCTGTTTGTTGCGCAGTAACAGCGCACGCAGACCTGAGAAGTCTCCTGGGAAGCCATTCGATGTGAACATTTTGAGATGCTAGTTGATCAAGTGTGCATATCTGTCACGTTCAAATGCCTTATTTTCCGGATTTAATTCCAAACGGGATTATTAAGAAAACACTCGAATGCACAAGAAAGCATGAACCAAAACATCGACTGTAGGAACTAGGAAGCCCAGTAGACGCCCGGCTTCTGGGACGAGCATCGAACTTCCGGTGACCTCACTTGCGCTAGGTGCTGAGCGCGCACCGTCCAGCCCCCCTATAGGGAGTATTCACTGGCGGCCATAACTGTGTGCGGAGCTACTGAGCGCGTGCTGACGGCGAGCTCCTGCAGTTCTTTTGCAACGTGCATTCCGCACCATTAAGATTTTCAGTCCTGGCAGATGTGAGCTTGTTCTGAGCATGCGCTTTAAACATCGCCCTCAAATATGGCGTCCAGTGAGTACCCTCTATAGTATAGAGATTTGTGGCTGTCGGGGACTACGTAACAAGCTTACTATCCTGGAGCACTCATTGTGGCAGGTAAGTGCAAGAAAACAAAATAGGTGTGCGCCGGAGAAAGGAGATGTAGCCTTTCTTATTCAGGGCCCTTCCCTCTACAACGCTCTTCTTTAGTTTTGGTATTCAATGCCTCTGGTGCGCTCTGTCACGAAGAACACGGGGGCCAACATTACGACCGTATAACGGGGAAGCTCGGCCAATGACGTAGCCAAACAAATATTATGTAGAACTAGATATAGAGTCTGCGATTTTACTCTGAACGTGACGTGAATATATGAAACGTTACCTTCAGTGTTAGCTTCGAATCGCAGACTTGTCTTTTAAGGTCTAAACATGTCTTCGGCGGGTCACTCTTTGAGTTCCCTTCGCCAATAGCACAACAGAGATTGGCTCTTTGAGTGCTTTCAGATAAGTTGACGAGAGGGAATGTCTTAAAGTTTATGGACGTAAGAAACGATTCTGACAAGACACCCCCAAACTTTGGGATAGTGTGTTACATTAAGGTTAGGTTATGTTAGGTAAAACTATAAGTTAGGTTATATTGGGGTAGGTTAGGTTAGGTTAGGTCAGGTGAGTTTAGGTTAGGTTGGGTTGCCTTCTGATAGCCTATGTTTGGTTTCGTGAACTTGGGCTAAATTATTTCAATGGCGTCAACAACCGTCGTACTCACGAGAAAACGTTTCCAGCCGCGAAGAGACCTTCTGCGACGAGCATGGGATCAAAGGCTTCCCAATGTTCCCTCGGGAGGTATTCAAGGAGAGGCTCAAGATCAATTTCTTGTCTCGCCTAAAAGAAGAAAAAAATTAGGCATAAATTAAATTGAAGTACATCTTTTTTTCTTTTTTTAAACAGAAGAGTGCCCTTACTTGAATGTAGGCCACTATGCGGAGTAAGGTAGCTGCGACGTACAGGCAGTTTCGTATTGAGTCCAAGGTGTTCCAGCTGTCCTTGAGGTAACGGGCAAGCCCACCGGACCAGATTTCTGTGGCCTCTTCCCAGATTTGTGCTAAATTCCGACAGTCGCACCCCAGGAAGAGAAGCAAGAACGCTTTTGTCAGGAATCAAAAGTGTACCCTTCAATTCAAGGGCAAAAGATTTGAACTGTGAAAACCGGTTGCACGTTGGCTTCATATTAGTCTACTGTGGGTTGTGGGAAACAGACCACCGAAACACCAAAATAAACATTTCTAAGTCTATATTATTTTACATTTGGGTACAGTTGTATATACATAATTTATTACCTACTCTAAGATAATTTGCGTGTCTATGAAATTGCTAACGGCCTGGTAGCTCAATCAGTGCAGCACTCTGTTGACGGTGTTCATAAAATGACAGGCCTTCGACAATATTCATGGCAGAAAACAGTGTACGGTACTAAAGCATAATTGAAACATGACTTGTCGCATGCTTGGTGTACAGGAGGGACGCAAAACTATGGGAAATGTTGTTTAATTATCAGAAAAAACGATGGTTGGTATGGTCCTTCACGTGATATGAGGTAAGTGCGCCTTCAGTTTTCGGCATTAAAAGTGTAAAACATGGCCTTCTGACAGGCAAAGATAGAATGAAACAAACTCGGGACAAGGAACGACGAACATTTCTTTCAACTAGCTTTCAACAAAACTTTCAACACGCTCTTCAGCTTTCAACACAACTATCTTTCAACTTCTTCTGTTGAAAGCTTCTTCAGCTTTCAACATCTAGCTTTCAACTTGAGCTTTCAACATCACTAATTTTCAACACAACTTTCAACACGCTCTTCAGTTAATGGCCTTCTGGTTTAACTAAAAACCGCGAGAGCGTGACTAGCAAATGAAGGACTTTACTAACTTTGGGAAAGATTAAAAAAGAGCAATACCTATGACGTAGGTTAGGATGGCCACCTCTATGAACGAAGGCGGCTGGCCTCTTTGCTTGTGTTGACTGACTTCACCGTCGCTAGAATGTGTGTGAAGACCCCCGAGGTTCACCCGCTGGGAAGCTAGTATTAACAGCACTGAAACACGAACAATAACGGTATTAATGATAATAACAACTTTCAGGTCCTGTTGTGTAGCTCGCGCTTGCGTGTAAATGCAGTCTGTCTCAAAACTCTGGAGTAATGTGAAATATGCATCTCTTTATTTTGATTCACTGAACACAGGTGTGTCTGAATTCTCGTGTTTTCTTTTTGATAGTTAACGGTACTGAAGACGTCTGTGACGTCAAACCTTATTTTACTTTGACTATTGCGGCCAGTTTTGGTTCTAGTGCGTTCCGCCAGATTTCGCGTGCTGGATTATTTTTTTTTTCAAAATAATTTTGATAGAGGCACGTGTGCGAATAGAGGTTCGCATCAAATAACGCTAGTCATTCCTAGCTTCAACATTTTTAAAGAAAACCAGCCGTTTTGGCTTCCCCCTGCACTGGGAATTAAGGTTACGAATGACGCAGTGCTGTTTAATTCGAGCCACTACATATCTCTAATATTTTCCATGAAATTTTAGAAAAGTGGAATATTAGGCATTACATTGAGCGCCCTAGGAAACGGACAAAACATTTTTAGATTTTAGCAATGGGAATTGAGAGAGGAAGTTGGAGGAGAAACACTTTAGATGCATATAACTAGGGCTATACTAATTATCTACACACACAACGAACACCACAGCATCAGCTGAAAAAAAAAAAAAAATAAAGCTTCGTATTGATAACGGAAAATGTAATTTCATCCGCAATCTCCCAGAATAAGCGTTCCCTCTGAAGAGGGAGTCTTCCTTCTAGTCACTCGCGATGGGATTGCAGTATATATACTCACGTAAGAAGATGAGATAGGAGAAAGCGTTGGCGACGAACTTGACGAATGGCCTCTTTGCAGCTTTGCCGGCCCGACTTCGAGGGAAAAAAATGTACATAAAGGAATAGTAGGGAAACACGGCGCCGATCTTGATGATCTGTAGACACTGGCCCACAATATGTTTCCTCCGAAACCCCGGTACTCCGTCGTACCAAAGCGAGCTCATCTGTTGCTGCACGTTCGGGTGGGCGACGAACTAAACAGGAAGAAAAAAAGAAAAGAGACCAACATTGCCACGTAATAAATGCCAATAATCCCTGGAGAAGGGGAACAAGAGGGACAAAGGACAAACATAAATCTCCAAACACAGCTAGGTGACTGGTGCGCGACCGAAAAAATCCGCCTGGTCCGGGTATCGAACCCGGGAACTCTCCAATACAGGTGGAGAGGTCCCGGGTTCCCCTTCTCCAGGGATTATTTTCATCATTCTTGTCCAGCTCGCTTGCACCTTTGCATTTAATTGCATTATAATAATAAATGCCAGCATGGCGCCCTTTGACCCGTCTTCAGATCTTCCCTTATCTTTGTTAGCTACACTCTTAAGAAACCTGGAGCGTATGCTCTCCCGCAAGGCGCTCGGGAGAGCCAATCACTGCAATCTGGAGAGAAAATTCCGCGAATGACGACGCTGGAAATATATTTAGACCTAAGAGCGCAGTCTGCACTCCGAGACCGACCATGACGCTTCACCACGCTGCTCAGTGCCATACGGAGCAGGAGCGCAAGTTCGTCTGCTTCTTGCTCAGGGGTTGCACTGACGTTAGAACGCCGAGCTTTGATTGGTTCCCGTTGGAAGAATAGTGGATAGACCTGAGGGCAGCTGGCATTGAGGTCTACCCACTGTCCCTCCATCAGAGCCAATGAGTGCTCGGCGTTCTGACGTCAGTGCAACCCCTGAGCAAGAAGCAGACGAACTTGCACTCCGCATATATTTTTTGTCTAGCATATTTTCAGCATCGTCATTCGCTACGTAGATTACAGCGATTGACTTTCCCGACTGCTTTGGGGGGAAAGCAGGCACTCTAATTTTTTTCAATAGTGAGAAACGCGGGGCGCGCGGCGTCGATTCTTGAGTTCTTTGTATACGCGGAGAGCAAGTCGTCTGCTTCTTGCACAGGGGTTGCGATGATGTCAGAGCGCCAAGCTCTCATTGGCCGATTGAAAAAAAAAAAAAAAAAAGATATACTGGGTAGTCTTTAAGACACTTAGCATTGCGGTCTGCCCACTAGTTTTTTCGATCAACCAATAAGAAATCGGCGTAGTTATGACGTCACCGTAACTAACGTGCAAGAAGCAGACGACTTGCTCTCCGCATTGTCGTTTCGCAGCCAATGAGAATAGCGGCATTAGGCTGCAGACTTGTACGGTACTCACTACGAGTAATCAAATTACTCGTGACCGATTACTTTTATTAGTAATTTCGTAATCATTTCAATACATTTATTATGAAGTATAATCACAAGAGTAATCGAATTACTTTTGGAAGTACTAAAATTACTCGTGACCTCTACTATTTTTCCCTCCCCTTCTTCTAATGGCGCCCTCTGTTTGTACAAGTTTCCTACCAGGAAATCCTCGAAAAAACTCTGACAGGAGGACGGTGTACCGAAATTGGTGGATTAAGGATAAGTAGCTTGTAATTCGGTTATTCTGATCCAATATTAGAGAGTTTTAGAGAACCGTTTTTTGCACGACCAATACCGTACGATGTGCCCTTCGGTACGCACTGCCCGTATGCGAGTCTTCTTTGGTAGCGCATGTGCAGTTCGTACCGGAGGGCCCATTGTACCGTATCGGATGTGCCAACACGGTTCCCTAAAACTCTATGTTGTACAGTTTGAAAGAACCGTTCTCAAACTGGGAGAAAAGTCTGTCGCTTTTTAAAATTTGAAGTACTGTAATCGGAAATGTAACGGTCACTTTTTCAGGTTACGGCCATTTACTTTTCTTCGGCAGTAATCAAGTAATCTAATAGAATGCTTTTTAACCGACGGTAGTCGTCGTTGTGATCGATTACTTTTCTGGGGTAACGTGTTAGTAACTGTAACGAGTAACTTTTAGTAACGTGTGACGAGTTATGCGTTAGTAACTGTGACGAGTAACTGGTTTATCCGATAACAAAGTCGAAGAGCGAATCAAGAAGCATAAGGAATGAACAAAATGAGCCACGCCTAGTGTTTGCTAAGCTCTCGGTGGCTACAAAAATAGTTAAGCAGAACGGATTCCCCAACAATTTTGTTTTTGCGTTTGTTGTTGAATATTTTATTAAGAAAACGAGTAACAAATTCTAGACACAGTGAGAGACGGGAGAAGATATTCACTTCCAATGGTTAAATTAAGAATTCGCAAGCTGGCTTTGTACCGTAGTTTATAACGGAATGTTCATTTGCTCTTGATAGGCGCAAACCTCTGCTTTTAAAATATCGTGCTCACAACTCGTGTTTCGTATACGTTATTCCAGGTTTCGACTTGCTTCGGAGGATGACTCTTGTAATAGAGCTAATCTAACGCCAGACAGGTATTCTCTTGGTGAGTGATTCTTCTCTGGTATATAACGTCTACATCCCACCATAGAGTCCACAGGTTAAGCAAAAGACCGGCGGACTAAATGACCCACGGGTTCACGTGTCCGTGTAAGCCAAACACTCCAACCTTCTTCTGTTGGTGTTCGATGGCAAGTTCCAGCCTGGCCATGGACAGGACGTCGTCTTCTTCGACATCCCTGATCCTCATGTCGTGGTTCATGATGCACGCCAGTTCCGCGGACGTCCGAATGTGGTCCAGAAGCGACGTGGCGAACTCCTGACACTGGCGTTGCAACTTCTGCAATTACCCGTGCGAGTGAGTGCAAGAAGCCACGCTTTAAAAGCTAGTCTGGCCACCATGGGTGAACATCGCTTTGTTAGAGTACAAACCAGCCTGGCAACCGCGGGCACGCTTTAGCGAGGCTTCAACATTTAAAGGAGAGGGGTGTGAATGTTTCTAGCAAGGTGGCGCAAGCTACCGCCTAACATAAAGGACATAGCCAATGCCATTTATCCTTCCATCCAACCAGACCTGACCATTCGACGATCTACCCATGAAAGCAGTACGATGGCGGCACCCAGTAGCCGTGCTTGAAAGCGTCTTTCGCAAAAGGCGCATTTCGTAAGGCACCGCCACCAATAATTTAACCTGCTTCCTTCCAACTGTCGTATGTCTAAAATGGCTTAGTAAAAATTAGATCGTAAAGGCCTTACTTTGTAAGGAAAGCATGCATGAAAAGCAGCTGCATCTTGAGAAACCCGCCCTTTGGCAGACCTTTTGCGCAACGTACCAATGAGATGAATAAGGAATATTTGGTTGATCGAGTAAATTAGTCAATGACCCCATTGCTGATCGATTGGGTTCAGCGCTCGTTCATTGATTGATAATAGTATCTGCTAGTTTACTGCTCCAAAAGCAGAACGATGCCATTTTGAGCGTGTATGTGGTGCACAACGTCTTAGTAGTCATCCAGAAGATGCCAAGTTGCAGTTGCTCACTAACCTTATACTCGACTTTGAATTCGTTCTCGACGTAGCTGAGCCGCTTGAGCTCAAGGCTGAGCTCGAACGCAGTGAGGATTGGGTCCACACTGGACAGGCAGATGAGCGATGGCGAGGAGAGTGCCCGGTAGGCGTTGATGCGTGACCGAGAGTGGCGGAGGCAGTCTTCCCGCACCTCCTGCGTCATTCATGCACACCAGCAAAAAATATCCCGTTGAGGACCCAAATACAACTTCTTGGTGGCGAGAGCTGCTTTTCGCGATTTTTCCCATCGAATTCCATCTGCGTTTCATGAACGTCGTGGCCCGCTAAATTTGCGGCAAAACTTATCCCTTTACATTTAGCCAAAAGATGTATTCGCTAGCTCTTGCAGAAAATATTTCCGCTATATTCAGCGGAAATTTAGTGCCATTCGACATCATGGTAGAAAAACGGCGCCACAGTGTCATTTAACCTCATGGCGTCAGGTGACGTCAAAGTGTCGCATGAGCATCGTTCGCTAAATTTACACAAGGCAGTGGAACTGTGAGCAGCGCTTCGGTTATTGTCGCAGCAGTTCATTTACAGGACACGGCAAGGGACCGGGGAAGCTTTTACCAGCCCCTTTTACAGCTTCGCATTTCGTCCGTCAGGTCGATTAAACTTCGTTTTACACGGCACAAATACATGATCTCGAATCTTCGGTCTGCGTGGTACGTCTGTGGCGACCTCACTAATCAAGTAACGTTACTACCGATGTAGAAGCATTAATTTTATCGTGACCACATTAGGCATTTGTAGCCCTTGTAATGGTCAATCCAAGCGGGTGCGGTCACTGAAGAACTGACGGTGGGGAAAAGCTGGAAATCCTCCGAAGCGAAATGAAATGAAATACCTGAACGCACTGGTCACAGCCACAGCGGACGTCGTGCGGCATGGGAAGCGTGGCTCCGCGGTCCAGCAAGAGTTTGAGGATCTCGTAGTTGTTCCGATGAGCGGCCAAGATGAGCGGAGTGATCTCCGGGTTAAACGTTGTTGTGGTCGCATTCACCTTCTCCCAATTCTGAAAAAATACCGCAACAAAGAGAATACACCCTCTGCGCTAAACGTGGCTGAACACACTCCATACCTTGCTGACGCCATGTCGCTTCCAGTTAAAGTCATTTTGGCGTCATCTAAGGTAGCCATAATTACAGTAAAAGCCAACTAATTGCTTAGATGGCCTAATTGTCGGCAATAGTGAATGCTATAGGATCACATGAAAAATTGTAATAACAGGAAACACCTTAATTGTTTGGTGTGTTCCGGCGTCTCGTGAGATTCGAGCACGTAATACTGGCCAGTAAAGACTCCTAAAAACGGTGGACTTATGTCTGAACATGAAACCAGGACGAGTTACTCATCCATGGTATCCAAATTTTGTGAGTCTGCGAGCAAATCCTGACAATGGCGGTACCGACAGAAAGAACGAGAAAGAAAGCGACTCCAAAATTGAGAAGAAATAAAAATAAAAAAAAGAAAGCTGCTAATATTTTGAACGTGCTCGTTTTGCCGCGACAAGTTGAAGTTGTTCTAGTAGTAGTAAACTTTATTTGTTTTCATAGATTTCGCGACGCCCGTGATTTTCTGCAAAATAAAGCTAAAAAAAACCAACTGGGCACAGGCTTTGCAAGGTAATTTTTTGCCGCTTCTTCGCGTCCATAAAGCGTCGCCATCAATACGGATGTTCGCGTCTATGCCCCGCAAGTTCTGATCAGTCTACCATCCCTTCTCATGCCTTTCAACTTCTTCAAGCAGCTGAGACGGTAGACCTTTACCTTAGGGTTATTATGTAAACTATACGTTCTTCGAACCGAGTTTCAACTTGGGTCCCGCACGACTCACGTAAGGTTCCCCTTCAACGTGTGTGGCCTCCTCGTGGTCCAGGAGAAGTTCTACGGCTTCGACGTACTCGGCGTTGATGGCGTGCAGCAGACTGTCTTGCACCTCCACGTGGGCCTCGAGCAGCGTCTCGAGGAGCGGCAGGTTCTCGTTCTCGATGGCCATGTGGACCGCCGTCCGGCCCAGCGAGTCCGCGCAGTTCATGTCCAGCTCAATGCTGTGGCCCTTGAGCTTGGAAATGTCCGCGATCCTGGGTACGTCGTTTGCGATAGGTTTTTTTCTTTTTTTCAGAGGAATCGGATAGGGAACGCGGACAAACTGCAGTGTTGGTTGCAACGCGTTACAAGTAACGATGGTACTGGCAATGCATTATGCCGCAGTTCCAGTCTTCGTACGTCATACAAAAGCAGACATGACGCTGCAGATATGACGACGGACATGTCTTAAGCATGTTTACTTGACACATGATCGCAGAAAGTTTTTGTATTACCAATGTGACCGTCATAGAAAGAAGAGACGTGCTTTAGAAAGTGTCTACAGTCTGTCTTTTAAACCGTCATGCGAATGTCAATAAAAAGTAACCGATTACGACTACAGTTACTCTTGGTTAAAAATATTCAAGTAGATTACTTGATTACTCGAGAAAGAAGTGTTTTGCGGCTACTTAAAAAAAAGAAAAAGTAACCGTCAATTTTGCGATTACTTCACATTTTCAAAACGACCAATTGTTCTGTCGAGTCGAAAAAAAAATACCGGGTCTTTGTTGTACTGTTTATTATTGGATGAAAATCACCGAATTCTAAACAACTTGGATGGATGGATGTTAGATGGATGTTAATGGCCATGCCCTTTCTAACAGGCGGTAGCTTGCGCCACCTAGCCAAAGTTATCTTCTTAATTCACCAATGTTGGCAAACCATACTCCTGTCGGAGAATTGGTTCGAAGATTCCGTGGTTGGAAATTTGTACAAATGAAGGGCGTTATTATAGGAAGGGGAGGAACAAATAGTAACTACAAGTAACTTTAGTACAGTCACGAGTAATAAAGAATACTCTTGTGATTGTTTTCTAACAAGTGTATTCAAATGATTGCAAAATTACTTCAAAAGGTAACCGATTACAAGTAATTTTATTACCTGTAACGAGTAACGTACAAGTCGGCTTTTGTATGATGTATTAGCTGTGGAACTGAGGCTTCAAACTGGTGATCGCTGCGGGATAAAATGTACGATTTTGGCACAAAGAGAGAGAGGCGCTATGGGTCAGATTAGGATGGTAAACCTCACGAAATAGACAAAGGCGAGATATTCTACAGCGCAATGAAAGGTCAAGTAAGCGTGCCACCCTTTTAGGCCTTCCCATTTTCGCGTAGCAGTCTGAGGTCTGGAAGTGGGCACTCGCGTAGAAAGGAATGCCCGACGGAATAAAATGCGGCGTACCTCTTGACAGTAGGAATGTCGCCGTGTTCAGCGGCGAGAAGGTACTTCTTCTCCAGAGGATGCAGCTTTCTGCCTCCCGGTCCGTGCTTGAGGGAGCGCACCTTGGACGTGAAGTGGAACATGGTCGGAGCCTTCTCGTCTTCGCTGATGATGGACATGTTCGAGTCCCTGTGTTTGCTGCAATGAGAAGTTCGTCCGAGCTTCTGGCACCGATGGTACTCGGACAATCGTTCGCAACTTCGGCATCCATCGATTCGCAATAAAATTACCTGTGCGATACGAAGATATAAAGGCCGTTTTACGGGCACGAGATATCAACTCGGCACTTGGCCATTGGAGTGCGCTGGTTGGGGGATTTTTTAAAAGACATCGTGCCGAAAGTCTTTTAACTACTTCAAAAGCAGGGGTATTATACCTATGTTTACTATCCCCGTTTTACCGGCCCTTACATGGCCTTCAGAACGAACTCCTTCAATGAGTCGGTATATCAGCTCGCGATCTCGACTCTGCAAGTCTCCGCCCGCAAAAACGGGAGTATTACTGGAACTTACGATCCCCTTTAGAAGATCAGTGAACCGGTGCACGCCTACTGGCACGTGCAAGGGTAGAGATCGCCAGTTTATTGGCCGCTTTGTTAAAGGAGTTCGTCCTGATAGCCATCCATCATCTCAGATGCCTAAATAACAGGGAGAAACCCCAAATAAAATGCAGCGCCCCAAAGAAAATCGTAAAACATCAAAAACAATTGTAATGCCGGATTTTCTTGACAGATTTACATAAACTTACGTGTCGGTCGATTAGCGTATTTTTTTTTACTACTGTATTAGATGGTGAAAATAACTCCAGAGGGTCGCGTTAACTTTATATAATAAGTTAGTATCATTTTGAAAATATACTTCATATTGCAATGTTCTGCGTATTTTTCCTTAATATGTCAACGTCGAATTTCAAGCATTAAAAGTTAATACGTGGGACGTTGATAGGAGACGTATAAAGTTGAAACATATTAATTACTGCAATACTTCGAAACCGCAACTAACCAAAAAAGCCCAAAAAAGACACATTGCGCATATACGATTCAAATTGACAACGCGTTGCAGAATATACCGAAGCAGGTGACACGGTTCTGCCGTCCCTACTGTCAAAGGTCCCACGACAAGTGTAAACACCAATACATATAGAATTACGTAGATTTCTTGTTCTCATTGTTGCTTAATTGTATTAAAGGCTTTATCTCATCAGGGCGACAACAAACAAACATTCCTCGCAGATATATCAATTCAGGACATCTGGTTACAGAAAACTTGCTGCTAGCACTTCAGCTTCAACACCTGCAGCTTCTAAAGATCATGTTAGTGAACAAGCAGAGATGCCGCCAGCGTTTCTTGTAGCGTCTGGTAACGAGGGCGCGTCTGGCGCCTTGCGACCTACTCTCGTCAAGTTTCGGCGTACTTGCCGCTTGGGCAAATACGCCGAAGCGGCGACGTCAAGACATCCGCTCATGACGTCATCCACTATTCGGCGTACTTGCCGCTCGGGCAAGTACGCTGAAGCGGCGACGTCAAGACATGCGCTCATGACGTCATCCACTATTCGGCCTACTTGCCGCTCGGGCAAGTAAGCCGAAGCGGCGACGTCATGACCTGCGCTCATGACATCATCCACTATTTGGCGTACTTTCCGCTTGGGGGTGAGCCGGGGATCCACTAAAGACGACGTCATGAGCGCAGGTGTTATGTTCTAGGTGTTGTGGAATGATATATGGCTCATCAGGCACTCTGGTCTCAATTTTTTTTTTTTTTTTTTTTGTTTGGTTGAGTAGACAAAGGAAACAACTCACGGCTGTCCGTGCTTCCGGTGATGGCCGTTGACGGCAGCCATTTTTTTTTCGACGCGCGTGCGCCTGCAGAGAAAAGTTGACGAAGTCATTTACAATCGAAGATAAAGCATGGGGAATGAGCAACTCGCATCCGTCTTAATTACGATCGTATTGGCACATGACAATGGCAATCAGATCCACTTACTACCGCCCCCAACTGAACGTATGTTGAAGCAACCATATAGTCGCTATAAAAGCCCATAATAAGCGCAGGTTCCAGCTTCTCGCGTTTGCGATTCGTTATTTGGAGTTCTTGTCGAGAAAATAGCGGTCCCACTGGCTGCGGAAAAATAATAAATGATAATAAAATCCGATAATACGATTACCCTCCTTTTGTGTCAGTGTCATGTCAAAACATTCGACATGTCTCGATGAAGATTAAACGTTATAGAAACGTCTTAATTCTTGCGGTGCTTTTTTTTTTTTTTACTTTTAGTAAAGTTTAGTTGTCAGTCAGAGCTCCGTTTGTGCTGCTCGTCCTTTTTCCGTCTTCGCGGTGTTTTTAGTTTCTTAACCAATAAACAACTCGCCCCAATTTCTACCAGTATACACTATATTTTGTTCACCCTTAAACTGAGACTAGAAGCTCCGCCCTCAGCGCGAGCTTTCTGCCATTGCTAACACAAGTGTGAACGCGCAGGCACGCGCAACCAAAGCATTGCGGAAGCCAGCGAGCTCGCGCTGAAGGCGGAGCTTCAAGTCTCAGCATTTAGGTGAACCTAGTATAGAAAGGCTTTCCGGCATAACCAAGATCATAAAGAACTGCTTTTCGTGCTCTTCTTTCAAGGTTAAGAACCACGAAGAACGAATCAGAAAGCAAGAACCTGTAGTATAATCGGCTACGCCCGCGGTTTCTTTAGTTGTTATCGACAATAATAATAAATCAGTCGATTTAAAAACACGCACACACACACAGACACACACACACACACGCACGCACGCACGCACGCACACACACACACACACACACACACACACACACATACACACACAAGACGCCTGCTTCGTCTCTTTTTTGCTGACCGCGCCAATTGATGTCCGAACTCCTTCTATATGCGGCTCTAACCTTTCCAAATAAAAGCGGTATGTACCTAGCGGGAAGGCCGTAGAATTGTCTCGGCGGCATCACCCACATTATCAACTGGGTTTCCATATAGGGTGCATTCACCCTACAGAAATCTACAGTAGACGTCAAACGCCACCAAAACCGTATCGGGAACCGGGAGATAATCCGGAATCGAAGCGTGCCAACGCGAAGTTCATCAAATGTCTTCCTTTCGCAGCGCGCAGAAACACTGACTGATTTCAACTCGCGATATCAAGTTTCCGTGTGACGACACGCGAATGGCTGCCGACAAAGCAGGAAGATAAGTTTGCATGAATCACCGCGTACTCGTAGATGAGATTTCGCGTTTATTACGTGCGGTATTGGCGGCTCCAGCGAAATCGACGTCACCGAGGGGCCAGAACAGGAAGCTTTGGCGCGAGCTAGAAGGCGCTTTGCAGCCTTTTAGAGTGAATCAAATATCAGAGTTTTTTGGAACCGTTTTTGCACAAACGACACGATACGATCGTATGGGCTACGGATGCGCGGGTTCACTGCTGTCTAACCGTTGACCTGTCGTAAGCTGTGATCGCGTGGTCAAAGCGACTGACTTTAGAAGCGTCTCGGCTTGTTTATACAACGGCCGTTTCGCTGCGGGAAGAGGCATGCTGAAGCTCCAAACGTGAATGAATGCATTCGTGATTGTGCCTGGAAAAAATGTCATGGTGGCGGGGAGAAGATCAAGTTGAATTCACGACAAGTAAAAAAAAAAAAAAAAAAAAAAAAAAAACACACACACGAAACGTGAACAAGGCCCCAACGCTTTCTTGGAGTCATATTGTTCGTTTGCCTCGGTTTGCGGGGATGGGCTCAGTTGGTTGAAGCGTCGCTCTCCTATTTCGATGTAGGTGCCGACGACACGGGTTCATACCCTATCCGATGACCCAGCCGTTCGTGGTTAGGGTGTCCGGAATTTGCAGCGAGGAGCGAAGATGAGTTACGTCGGCTTTGTGGAAACGAAGTTGGCGTAGCACATTCACTTCATCCATCGACGCGAGGTCGAACCTCCCTAGTCTCGACGTCAACGATCTCATCCTTTTTGGGGTAGAAAACTCAAAGAAAAGTACTTTTTTAAGTTTTTCGCCCTGAATAATGCCAACTCGAACTCATCGTCCAAAAGTTGTAGTGTCATGATTGTTGCGAAGATGGTCTGCTCCTTTAGCGGACGAACTGTTCTGTCACGGTTGGGACGCCGCCGCCACATTTAGCGCTCCCATTCTAGAAAAGCGAGACAAAATATGGTTAGGTCCAGAAATTCGGCCTCAGGCTATTTCTGAAAAGGGAAATGTTTTTCCTTTAGTTCTGTGAAATTACCAAACGCTCCGCGCCCCCCCCCCCCCCCCCCCCCTCGCTCCAAGAAACAACAACAAAGAGAGGGATTTGCTATCTGCACATCATCAACCTTGGGGTCACGTGACACTCCAGTGACGCTACATCTCCACGTCAAGCATCTCTGCCGGCGAGGCCCACGCGACGTTCCCTTCGCGTTCCGTGCTCCCGATTCGAGGTACCGATCGTTTGGTTTATCGACGGCGCTTTATTCCGGTTCCCTAACACTCTCTATTTAGAGCGCGCCGGGCTATCAGAAACGAAGCCTTGAAAGTAAGTTAAAACACGTGATGAAAGAAATCGCCATTACGACACCTACACCGGTACTCCCCAAGAGCGACCAACGTTAAAAGGGATCTCCGGCCAAATTTTTATGATCGCTGATTTGCCTCAACATAGGTTAAACACATTACAAGACACCGGCTGAACGGTATTTTTTTTATTTTGATCCTCATCGTTTTTGAGACTGCAGGCCCTACTGGGCCACACTGAAAACGTAATGACAGATGATTCAATGTTTGGGGTGTCGCGAACCGGTCGAGGTTCGAATTCGACCAGGTTCGACTTTTCCAAACTTCTTGTGAAAAGTTCGACAAAGTTCGAATAAGGTTCGACTGCTATGCGCATGCGCGACAGGCTGGCCAGTTGGCTTCGGATTGGATGGTGATGGCTAAGGGATGAATTAAGGGCAGCAATGATTGGTTATGTCAGTTAATACAGTACAAAAAATTAAGTTAGTAACTTCTTCAGTGATCAGAACTAGTTTATTTTAATTGCAACTGTTCATAAAATTATAATAACCATTTGCATAAAAAAAAAATCTCTAAACCTAGACAAGCTTGTATCAAGGTCTGGCCACACTGTCCACAAATTCGAACCGGTCGAATCTGGTTAAAACTTCGAAGGTTCGACGAACCGGTTCGTACCCGAAAGTGCGACCTAAAAATTCGGTTCGACAAAAGTTCGCGACACCCCTATTCAATGTAGACATATTTTACAAGGCGCCGCCATCTTAAAATATCGTCACTTCCAGCATGGGCGAAAACATCGTTTTACCGTCGCCACGCCAATAGAATACATTTAGGATATAAGCGTAACCGTCACCCATTCTCGTTTTGTCTCCCCTTTATTTTTTATTACTTGCAGGTTGACATGCTTTAATATTTTTTGGTCGCCCATACTAAAGATAGATGCCTACCAGGTGGCTGGGGGCGAGAGTAAGCGAAAATGGAGTATATGGATAGCGCAACTTGTTCCCGACATGTGACAAGAAGTTTGATGACGTGAAATAAATAGTGTGAAAACCAGTGTTGCGCAAGTTCCTCCAAAACAGGAACAAAAGACTCGTTTCTTTTTTTTTCTCCTTAATAATGAAACGAGTTCCCACTACAAGTTCTAGGGATTTGAAAGGAACGCGTTCCCCTTATATTTCTAAGAGTGGAACGTGTCGTTGCGTTAAAGTTACACGTGCGTACTTTAATAAAATAAAGCGAGCAAGTGAAAATGTGCCCATCAATCTACGCGTCGAATCGTCTTGATCGCATTTGTTCCAGTTTGTTTTCGACTATCTCTTGGACACTTCCCGATCCCTTGAAATAGCCGATGATGAAAAAAAGCCTAAACGCCCACAAAATATTCCTGACCAGCAACTTGCTATAGCCGCTTACAAAAAAAAAAAGAAAAAAAAAAAAAATATATATATATATGTATATATATATATATACATTAAAAAATCAGTGCAATGTTTCCCTCACATTAAATTGACAAGCAGAAAATGAATTACACGCATAATACAAACATAGCACTTAAGAAACGCGTAAATCTACGCGTAATAACAAACGCGTCGATACGGATAAGCCCAAAGAATCAACCACTCGAGCCGGTTTTATCAAGATATGGTAAAACCCCGAAACCCCGAATTAAAGTTGTCTTTGAATGGGAGAAGCCCAAGTTTCATTGAAAGATATTTTTATCCTCAGGCTTATCTTGTGTTGACAAGGGACATGACTCGCGCCGAAGTGTCCGCGAGGTTGCCGTTTTAGTCGGGAAACACACATCGTTTTCTCTTCTTATCGGCACCAAGACGTTGTGCAAGTATCCGACGCAGGCGCAAGTTCCCTAGAGGTTGGGGCATCCCACGGCCGTGTGCTTCTTTCTTAGCATAATCACCGATAAACGCCGATTATTTTATACGACATCAAGAACAGAATTCGAAAAACACCAAATCGGTGAAAACAAATAGAGCCCCCGAAAAAACCTCAAAATTAAAAAAAACAAAACAAACAAAAAACCAGACACCTGGTTCCGTACACATAGTGTATAGTGTAATCATATTTTCCTCCGAAGTAACGGCAAAATTGGGAGGCGTTAGTAAAAATTGACTAGTTGCAAATACGTTTCTCGAGGGTAGAGCGAACTTTCCCCAGATTCACAACTCCCACATTTGACAATACGGTGTGCAAGTTTGTCCGCTCTCTGTACACCTTGTGCGCTTGTTTACACCACCCCTCCCCCGAATATTCCCACGTGCTTTTGTTTCCCTCCGATCTCGACCAATGAGAGCGCGCAGAGTATGGAACGGCGTTGCTGG